GAGCTCTTCCAGCGCTGCAGTCTTTATCTCTTCAATCGGTGCAAATCTCCGTCCTTTCATAGGTCTTTTTAGTTTTGGGAACAAGAAAAAGTCACATGGGGCCAAATCCGGTGAATATGATGGGTGAGGCATGATTGTGGTGTTGTTTTTGGCCAAAAAATGTCTCACAAGCAAAGATGAGTGAGCAGGGGCATTATCGTGATGCAAAAGCCATGAATAGTTTTTCCACAATTCTGGGCGTTTTCTTCGTATTGCTTCTCGTAAACGGCGCATAACTTCAAGATAATACTGTTTATTGACCGTACGTCCATAGGGTAAGAACTCCTGATGCACCACGCCATGGTAATCGAAGAAAACAGTGAGCAAAACTTTGACATTTGATCGAACTTGGCGTGCTTTTTTCGGTCTTGGCTCATCTGGGCTCTTCCATTGGGACGATTGGACTTTGGTTTCGATATCATAACCATATACCCATGATTCGTCACCAGTTATGACCCTTTTGAGTAAATCTGGGTCGTCGTTGACGTCATTCAACAGTTCTTGAGCGATGCTCATGCGACGGTTCTTTTGGTCAAAATTTAGCAATCGGAACAAACTTCGCTGACACACATCTCATGCCCAAAACGTTAGAAAAAATCTCATGGCACGAGCCAAGCGATATACCAACATCCTCAGCAACTTCTCTGATAGTGATTCGACGATTTTCCAGAACAATTTTCTCCACTGCTTGAACGTTTTCATCAGTTGTAGACGTGCTTGGGCGTCCAGAGCAAAGCTCGTCATTGGCATCTTCCCGGCCATCTTGGAAGAGTTTGTACCACTTGTAAACATTTTTTTTACTCAGAACAGTTTCACCGTATGCCACCGTCAACATTTCAAGTGTTTCAGAGCACTTTATTTTATTTTTTACACAAAATTTGATGCAAATCCTTTGATCCATATTTTTCGATAGCAAGAAATCGCTGAGCACGCAAAACACTTATAACCTTTACGCCTCTCACAACCAAACAAAAAATGCTATACATTTGAAACTTGGTACAGATGTTCGGGAAGAGTGTACCAACATAACAAAACAAAAAAATTGATAATCGAAAATACGTTGCCCGTGAAATTTGAAAAGTCACCTTCCTTTTTGAACACACCTCGTATACTTTCATAGAAACAAATCACCGTCAAGGTTGACTTACCTAGGTGTGAAATTAGTGGAAAAAAACTTTTTTAATAAACGATATAAACAAAATATTGTTACTTTGGTCTATACAAAAATTCGTTAAACAGGGAGATGCCTAAAAAGCGACAACGAAATCCTCAATCAACTAAACAACTTCGCCGGTTAGCAGCAAAGCAGACTAAATTAGATGTATACGATGTTGTTTCGAAAATTACTTCGTCTAATCAGACATCTGCTCCTGAAAGTGATGACGAAATGACACCAGCTACGAACGCAGCTTGTTTATTACATGCAACTTTCCTGGAAAACTCAAAGAAAAATGTAAACACTCGTGTATCCGAGTCTCGTTTAGTTGAACTAGACAATGTAGACCATAATCGATCGATTCCGAATATAGACACTATTATTCAGAGTGAAATGGATGGATATGACTCGGAAAGTAGTTGTAGTTCTCTTGATTCCGAAATATATCGTTACAGTGACAGCGAAGCTGAAAGTATTCCGGATGGTGATAGTGATACAGACTTAGATTTTGATCTGGCATTGGAAAATCCTGTTCAACTGAATAATAAAAAATTCGTAAACGACATAACTGAATGGGCAAAAGATTTTCAAATACGCCATAATGCTTTAAAATCATTATTATCAATACTTAACACATATACAAATACTCCATTCCCGAAAGATCCAAGAACTCTTTTAAAAACTCCAAAGTTTACACATATTGATGCTATGGATATCGGTCACTATTGCCATCTTGGGGTTACAAACGCTCTTCAAAATATCATTTTAAGTCATTCTGATACTAATTGTACGTTGGAGACTATAAAACTTATGATTAATATCGACGGTGCTCCTATTACTGGAACGTCATCAGGAAAAGGTGTTTGGACAATTCTTTGTAAAGATTTTCATTCAAAGTCAGTACATGTAATAGGCATTTATTACGGTTCTAAGAAGCCTGCAGATCCTAACGTGTATTTATCAAAATTTGTTGAGGAAATTATACCAATAATATTAAATGGTTTTGACTATAAAGACAAAAAATATAACGTGCAAATTTACGGATTTATTTGTGACGCACCTGCCAAATCATTCATTCTGTGTACAAAGGGTCACAGTGGTTATTCTAGCTGTAGTAAATGTTTAATAGAAGGTGAATATCATAATTCCATGGTTTTTCCTATATCTGATCAAACAAATTTTCTTAGATATTGTAATGAACTCATAAGAACCGATTTGAACTTCAAAAATTTAGATTATTTGGGTGATTATCAACACAGAGAAACAATTCTGAATAAATTGCCAGATGTGGGATTGATTTCCAATGTTCCTATTGATTCTATGCATTCAGTGCATCTTGGTATCATGAGGCAGCTTATAAGACATTGGATAGGTGACAAAGACCGGAAAAATAAACATTGCAGATTGTCGCATGAAAAAATTGAACTAATTTCCAGTAGACTCGAAAATATGAAATATATTTTACCCAGTGATTTTAATAGACGTTCAAGGTCTCTAAATTATTGGAAACAATGGAAAGCTACGGAATATCGACATTTTTTATTATATTATGGTCCGTTTATTCTGAAAGATGTTTTGGAATCTGACGTATATCATAACTTTCTCTTGCTTCATACGAGTATCGTAATTCTTTCAAGTAAATCTTATATTACAGAACCTAGTAATATTGAATTCGCTCAGTCGTTAATTATACAATTCTTGCAAACATTTCAAGAAGTTTATGGCAAAAATAATGTTAGTTTCAATGTTCACAGTTTGTTACACTTAACAAAAGATGTGGAAAAGTATGGCCCGTTAGAATCTTTTAGTGCATATCCATTCGAAAGCTACATTTGTTCTATTAAAAAATTTATTCGTAAAGGAGAGAAACCATTGCAACAAATTACTAGACGAATAGCAGAGTACGAATCTGTAAAAATACTAAAATATCGCTTTGATACAAGAAAAGGAATGTTGGAATTAGAGAAAGTACAATATAATGGGATCTTGATCGATACATGTCCTCGCGGTACACAATATAAAATATTAAACATCGCTGAATTATGTCGTATTGACATATGCGACGATCGAAATAATTGTGTCATGTTAAAAGACGGAACTATAATTACTGTTTTAAATTTTATAAAAAATGGTAGCTGTTTGTATACTATTGGCAGAAAACATGTAATTAGAAAAGATTTGTATACCTTGGAAAATTTTTCAAGTGGGACATTAGGTATTAACATTGTAAGCGAAGCAAAAGATATGGAATATTGGATGTGTCAAGAAGTACTATGCAAAATTTTTAAAATCCCTTACAAGAATGAAATTATTACATTTCCAATAATTCATACTTATCAAGATTCTTAAGTTTCTGATCGGGTTTGTGTCTAATTTGGGAGATGTCTCTACTGAAATTTCGCCTCTGCGTATATAGAAAGGTTCTCTTAGGCGAGAAAATGTAAGGTGTTGCGACAATATCAAGTAACGCTATTTTAGAAGAATTACTGCAAATTTTTCTCTAAGCAATTCTGCTTTAGTCTTGATTACAAATTTGAAATGTAACGGTATTACTTAAGTACATGATGTATATACTTTAGTTAGAATGCTCCGATATTTGTTGTTATCACTCTTTGTTGATAAATTTTTATTATAATGGCAGTTGTAAGAATTTGATTAGGAATCTTTATACTACTAATAATTATATTTTTTATTTTGAAAAATATGACTTTAAACATACAAGAGAATGTCTATCTTCACGTTTCAATTTTAATTTCAAATCTATACTTTTGTGTATATCACATCGAAAATAAAAATAAATATTTCTCATAACATAATTTCAAATATAATTAAAAAGCAGTAATCAAGAACCAATCTATTTGTAAATTTTATTTGATTCTGGTGAGAAATCAAACGAAATTATAACGTAATATTCGTTCATTCATTTTTCTGGGATTATTTCAGGGATGCAATGGGGAAGTAAATACCTGAACTATAAAAATATGTTCCTCTGAATCCATTTATTATTGCGCCCTGTTAGAGGAAGCTTTGTTTTATTGTAAAAAATTTTCAATAAATATCATAGGTGATATATGTTTTAAGGTCCGAGAAGTCAAAATATGATATTTTGGAAAATATGTATGTATATTTGTGTGTATATAAAGTTATTTTAATTTAATGTATAAAGACTCATTTAATGTGTTTTTAATTAATGATGGGTGCAAAGAAAGAGTCACATGATTATACGTATGAATATTTCTTTTTAATTTTTTTCATACTACGTTTTAACGCTTAGATTTTTTATCAGAAAATCTTAGGTTATTTTAGTTTCTCTCTTTAAGTCTCTAGATGCTTTTAATTCGCTTGTATAGTAGGAAAAGTAAATTTCATACAAAAATTGAATAAAATCGAAACGACTATTCAGTAACATTTAATTTACAGTGTGTCATAGCATTATTAAAATGTCAAAGTGATTTCAAGTCATTGTATCGCATATAACGTGAGGAAAATTTTCATTCTTAAAAAAAGACCTTATTTGCCATTTTCTTGATAACTCAATTTATTTTAATCGAATCATTATGAAATTTCGTACAGATATTGCTTTTTATAAACGAAGAAACTAGTTTCTTGAACAGAATTATTGGTTAATAAGTAGTTGAGGTAATGATAGCTATTTTTTTTATTTTTATCGCTTATGCACTCTGTGTTTTTCACACTAACCCAATAACTTGTAATCGAATCATTCTATATAATTCTGATCAAATAATATATTTAAGGAACCTAAATGTGATATTTAATAATTATCTTAGTTAATCTTCATCTCCAGAAATTATGAAGAAGTATTCGATCATAAAAGATGAGGAAGGTGAGATACGAGTAGTACCAAGCAATTGGTTGACCGACGATAAAGAATCTGTTTATTGGCCTCCATACAAGGACTCAGCACGAGTTAAATCTGCTGCCATAAACTTGGAGTCAAGAAATTCCGATTGGGAACTTTACTCTTGTACTTTTATCAAGTCAAACGGTAATTGGTATCCCCTATTAATAATAGGATCCATCCTATGAATAATAGGATTGGGTGAAGTTATTGGTTCTTTGATGTTTTAGCGGCTCATTCACAGTAGCACGTACGCGAGCGCTTTTTGATAGTAATGAAACGAACATTTAAAAAAATGTTAAAAAGCTGTCATGCGTGTATGCAGTCACAATTTGCTTGCAGGTAAAAAATTACTTTGAGTACAGTCTCTTTCAGAGCTTACACTCATGCCAGCTTTTTTACATGTTTTGAAATGTTTGTGGGAGGGGGGAAGATTTCAGTTACTGTTCAAGATTCTTAAACGTTTATAAGTATGCATATAATTTTTTCAATCGGCGTAGTAGATTCCCTAAAAAGACTCCCGTACATAATCTTCAATTGAGTTGAATAGATTATTAGTCAGATACTTTACAGATGAAAGATAATAGAGTTCGACATATTCTACGCGACATTTGACGTATACTACACATAGAGCGGTCAAAAACATATGATCTTATGGAAACCACAAAAATGCAACATTTTTCAAATGGTTTTACTCAAATAACTTTCTCAAAACTGCATGGATCAAAATAAAACTTTTTTTGGATTATAGGTAGTAAGCCAATCTTTCGATTTTACGAATTGGAAACATCATAATAACTACGCAGTTGAAAAAAAATAATAAAGTGAATTTAGAAGGGGCATTGAAGCACCATAATACTGTATAGAGTGTCGCGGTGCTCGCAGCGTTGCCGGCTTTGGCGCCTAAACGCATGCGGCTAGCTTCCGCAACCCTTGATTTTTAGATAGGTAGTCGTGCTACTAAATATGTGAGTTGGACAAACAGGGTTCACCTATCATTCACGAACCTTCCACCTGTTGCGACAACGATATTTTGCGTTATTAGTTTCTATTTATATGTTTCTTTGTTACTGATTCGCGCGTTAATCTTAATACTCGCTCAATTGTAACAGTATATTGCGCATTACTATGTATATCAATGAATTGAATTAAAATCGTTTGCAATGCTCTGGATGATCTTGAGCGCACGGCTTAGTACAATACCAACACGCATGCCATACAACCGTGCATTTAGGTCACATAGGTAGCTGTTAAGTTAAGGCTTGTCTCCATGAGGCACACGGACACTGTAATATTTGCAATACAGCACGTATATTGTGAGCGGTGAGTTTAACCAGAAAACTGCGCTAGAATCGGCCAAGTGTTAAAAAACGATTCTTTCTTTGTTGTTTCCAAGTCAGAATGTAGGTGTGGGTGTTGTCATGGCTAGCCATTGTCATTAGCCACTTCGCAAGTTCTCGGGCAATTGTGTTGTCAAGCACAACGCTTGCACTATGCGGGCTGTGTTGCTCACGACGCAGTGTCCGCGTGCTTGACGCAGAAAATTATTAACTTAGCCGCTGCTTATGTGACCTGATTGCACGGTTGCATAGCCTGCGTGCTGTTATTGTGCGAACCGATACGTTTGAACATATCTACTATATTGCAGAAATTCGGTTCGCTGACATCAAAAAGCGCTAGCGTACGTGTTACTGTGAATGAACCGAAATTACGAAATAAAATCTGAAATTGAGAAAAAATGAGAATATGCAAGCGATAAAATCCATGAAACGACATTTTTATTTATTTATTTTTTCAAATTAAAAACAAAATGTATAAAAATTTTTTCAGACGATTATGTTGATGCTCAAAAGGAAGCTCGATTTCCAAATCTTGACGATTTAACTGATGCTAGTGATGAGGAAAGACTTAAAGCAACTAGAGCGGCTAGAAATAAAATAACAGCTTCACCTTCCAAATTTATATCATCATTTACAAAAGTTAAACCACCTAAGACATGGGAAACTAATAATTCAGTTGACGGCAGCAAGAGCACAGAAGGAATATCTCCTAAGAAAGTCCTCCTTGCTAAAAATTCAGTGAAAAATGCGCCCCTTCTGAAATCTTTACAAGTAGATTTACAAAGAACCATCTCGCCGGCTCAAAAAAGCCTGTTCCCAAGATCAGAATTTTTAACAGGTGGACCCTCTGGTAATTCCGTAGTGAATGATTCAAGTCAAGAAGAAGAAGATGGATCAAATAACGAAGTGGAGCTGGAAATTACACTCCCTATGATCTTCGGTTTGTAATTTTTTTTTCTTACAAAAACCTTTCTACGCTATATTACTTTTTTTTAAATTATACTTAAGGGGAGAACTCCATGTAATTGGACCAAAAAAATCAATTTTTTCTATTGCATAAATTGATAGTGAAACATTTTGAAAAAATCCCAAAAATTCAGAATGAAATTCCGAATCAATTACGTACTACGGTCATTGAACGAATGCGCTTACGCGGTGTGAGGATTACTTTTCTAAACTTTGAAAGCCGTTTTCTCAAAACAACTGGTAGCCGTTTTACGTCTTCGTGAGCTACATCCTGACTTGTCTACATCGTCCCAATTTTTAAAACAATCTGTCAAATAGATTTTTAACATACAGTTTTTCCAAAAACTGTTTATTTTACCTCAGTTACAAGGAGTTCTCCTTCGTCTTTCTATCTAGTTCAGTATGTTGAAACCGCAAAATATACAAAAAAAATTATCTTTTCGACAAAATGTTTTATAGTATATTTACTGTGGCTTTTTGGCAAAATCGAATGAGTCGGCATTTCCCTAAGTTTTAATGTTATGCATATATATATATATATATATATATGCATAACATTAAAAACTGAGATATTCTGTTAAACTGAGTTAGGCATCTGACTTTTTAGGAGCATAGGTTAAAGTTTCACTCGTCTACGCTAAATATCTTGGAAGAGGGTCTCTTAAATACTAGAATGTAGTTATAACTCAGAACTGTATTCGGTTATGCCGAGAAGTCTCAGATTTGTAATGTATGTATTTCCTCAGAAAAAAGTTAGAACTCCATTTTGTTTTGTAATAATTTAAATTCATCAAATCTTCGTACAAATGTTGTTTTGTGCATAATGAAACTAGCCTTCAAAACGTCCCCGTTATCAGTATTTATGAATTTGGAATGTTCATGCTGTGATAGAAATCGTTTGTGTTTCAGAAATGCAAAAGACAATGGTAACAAAACTCAACTCCTTGGGCATCAAAGTAGATAATCTGTCAAAAAAATTACAACGCTGTCAAAATATACGCGTTGCAGACAAAGAAATTGTGGCTTCTCAAGATATGATTGAAAGCATGTCTAAAATATTTCCAATGACTGATGAGATTCCAGAAAGGAGTATGGATGGCGTGAACGAAAAAATACGCACTGACCCAACTTTCAGAAAAGAATTGGTAAATATTAGTCCAGTTATCTTATATACTTCAATTAACGTAATAATTATAATAATAGGAAATTTTTTATAAAAGTTCGATTTCGGTTTTAATGTGGGTCACAGTCCATTTTGTAAAAGTAACGATAGGGCTCTATTTCTAGCGGGTTCCGAAGTTTCTTCTTAGAGTTTTAGTGGTTTGAGGTAATTTTTTATGTTCATCGTCTCGTTTTCATCGTGAGAACGAGTTCAAACCCGCTGTAACTTGTATTTCAACTAAAAATCTCATTTTTATAGTACAGTATTTTACATAGGAAAAACTTGATTTTCTTTCTTCACTTCCTGAACCGAAATGTCTTTTGAAAAATCATAGTTTTCATATTTTTTCAAATGGTAGACAAGTGCTGGGATTTTAAACCCATAGTGAGCAGCCACATCTGTTAATTTTTCATTCATAACCTTAACGGCTTTGACATCCTCCAAAACAACTTCATGGGCGTGTTTATCATTCTGTGTCTTTCTGATATATTTTCTAACCACGACTGAAGGCTGTGAACAACATTCGTAAATCGATCATTTTCCCACATTGTGGTGGTAAACTCTAATCGCGACCGCGATTCTTGTTATAAGACGTTCGCTAGATACGCCTTTACAGAGAAAATTAATATTTTACGTATTTAGTCGCGTCGGTGGCTTAGTAGATAGGACGCCGGACTTTCGTGAAGAAGACCGGAGTCTCATTCCCGTGTGAGTCACTGGGACTTTTTTTGCAAGGAAAAATACTGTGCTCCGCTATATCCGCCAAAGCGACCGGGTTATCGTTCCTGGCGTAGGTTTTCCCACAGAAGAATTTTTTCTACGTCTTAGACGTTTAATTCAGGGAACGATAACCTGTGGGGTCTGGAAGCACATAGCCGTACAAGAAGAGGGCACAGGTCTCATGGCTACCCCGGGCATATTGGTAGTCCGAATGCTTCTCAGTGAAAATACCGCTTCTAGCCATGGGATAAATGAACGGGAAAAATGTCTCTCAAACTATGGTGGTGAGTGAGGTACCGTAAAATCCCGTAAAGGGTATAAGGAGATAAAATCGAATATAATTAAAAAATATATATGTTTTATGTACTTCAATCGTATATAATGTATTCTTAAAAAATTTTTTAGGGTCGGAAATAATTGCAAAATTTGACTGAGAATACAACTATAGGGTTTCGGTTTTGTGATATTTTGAAGGATTGATTGGTAAGGGTCATGTTCATCTATATAAAAAAACGAGCGGGTCGCGGAGTATCATAATAACTTGATAATCTACATATACGCTAGAAAATATTCGTACGAGTACAATTGGGAGAAGAACCTCAAATCAAAATGTTTTTCAGTTGCCTTAACGGTCGATAAAAAAGAAAAGTAATAAAACATCTTTTTCTTGCGTCTTATTTTTCCCAAAAAGTATTTTTTAAGAAAAAAATGTAAAAGGTGACTTGCGAATCTAGTTTAACTAAAGTCCCATAATTACTTTCACGAAATGGACTGGGGTCTACATTAACATAGAAACCCGGCTTTACCGTTTAATGTTAAGTTTAATTGATAATCGTCGATAAAAATCAATCTTATCAACGCGAAGCTAATTTTTTTTTGTCTTGGATGTAATTGCATTTTACAACCTTTGAAAGGATCTTAAGGTGGGTTACTGGTGAAACTTCTGATTTTTTTATTTATGGACCTAAACTTACAAAATTTGGGACATATATCAGTTGAAATAAAAACAAAAATTTTGATGCCCCTTAGAATTATTTTGCATGTTTTGGACCTATATTGTGAGCATTTTAATCATTTTTCCGGCTCAACTTTAAAAAGTCCCATGCGCATACCACATTCATCAAGTTTGATCTGTGGGAGCTCTTTTTCTTCTGGTAGACTCAAAGAATAATTCTTAGCAAGCAGATTTTTGTTAAACTCACTCCATACTGAATGGCACCATAAAACATACAGGAATATGAAAAAATCCCTCACTTTTCCATATTTTTTACCCTATTGCTTGAGCCTACTTAGCCCCAATTTGACCTATTAATTATTGGCTTGCTAACATTTATTCTACAGCTGTTCACAAAGAAAATGAGTCATCATACATTTAATTTGGTCAAAGTGGAATGCGCATGGTACATTTTTAATGGAAATAGAGATAACCAAACTGATATTGTCATAATTAAGTAGGATTATGCTAATACGGTGAGATTAGTCTCAAAAGATTTATAACATCCAGTACAATAACTGAACAAAATATGGTTACCCTACTCCAAGAACTTGAAATTCTATATCTATAAAAGTGTTGAAGAAAAAAAATGGAAAATCGCACCAGAAACCCACTTTCATTGGTTTTACTACTGTGGGCAAAAAGTAAGGTGAATTTGTTTGTAAAATGAAAAATCTTTATTTATTCTTCTACATCAATGTCATTCCCTTCGAAGTAATCCCCTCCCGATAAAATACACTTATGCCAACGTTTTTTCCAATCCTCGAAACATGCCAAATAGTCCCTTTCCGGTATAGCCATCAGCGCCTTCTTCGATTCAGCTCTTATCTCCTCAATCGACTCGAAACGCGTTCCCCGGAGTGGTCTCTTGAGTTTTGGGAATAGCCAGAAGTCACACGGAGCCAAATCAGGCGAATACGGTGGTTGCGGAACGATATGCGTCGAATTTTTGGCGAAATGGTCACGAAGAACGAGTGCAGTGTGAGATGGTACATTATCGTGATGCAAAAACCAAGAGTTGTTGGCCCATAATTCTGGTCTTTTTAGACGAATTGCTTCACGCAAACGACGCATAACGCTCAAATAATATTCCTTATTAACAGTTTGGCCGGGTGGAAGGAATTCATAGTGCACCACACCACGAAAATCGAAGAAAACTGTCATCATTACCTTGATTTTTGAACGACTTTGACGTGTTCTTTTCGGTCTGGCCTCGCCTTTAGCACGATATTCGCTTGATTGGTCGGTTGTTTCAGGGTCGTAAGCATAAATCCAAGTCTCATCTCCCGTAATCATGCATTTGAGCTTGTCCTGATAGTCAGAAAGCATTGTTTCACACACATCAACGCGGCGACTTTTTTGCAAGAAATTGAGCGTTTTCGGTACCAAACGAGATTTGACTTTTCGTAGGCCCAAATGGTCTTTCAAAATTGTTTTCACAGATCCTTCTGATATTCCGATCATATCAGTAAGGTCTCTAACAGTCAACCGACGATTTTCGAGCACTAATTCCTTCACTTTATTGACGTGTTGGTCATCTGTTGACGTCGATGGTCGTCCGGAGCGCTCCAAGTCATCAACACGTTCTCGACCCTCTTTGAAGTCTTTGTATCACTTATAAACATTTTTCTGCGACATGGTAGAATCACCAAAGGCCTTCCGCAACATCCTCAACGTTTCCGCAGCCGAAATTTCATTCCGCAAACAAAATTTGATGGCACTTCTTTGCTCAATTAAATCAGACATTGTAAAAATCGAAACATGCACTCTTGGTCGTTTGGTAAACACAAGCGTAAATATATTACTGATGATGACATTGACATGAAATTTGTTCCAGATGTCATTCGCAGTCCTACCAACTCAAGAAAAAAAGAACTAGCTCGAAATGTTAAGCCCGCGAAGTTTAAATTGAAAATTCACCTTACTTTTTGCCCACAGTAGTATTATAATTGATCCGAAAAAGTTTGTAAAAACGAATTCATATTTTTTTAAAGCCCTTGTGATAGAGAAGGACAATGTAAAAAATTCTCTTATGTCATAATGTTGTGTATTCCTTCAAATATCGCCATTGATTAATTGCTTATTCCCAATGTTAATTTGTTGCATAATTTCCCTTTGACTAGAGGTTTCGAGATAGTATAACTCATTTGAAATAGTATAATAATAATGAACTGCATTAAGCCCTTTAATTGATAATTAATTTTTAAATGATTTATACTACAATGATTACAGTAACAACAAAGGCAAGAAAGGACTACATATCCAGACTTAATGGAAAATTATGTATGTGCGAAAAGGTAACATACATGCATGCATACGCATACTTTCTTAAACATGAAATCCCTCTTCCCCACTCTTTTTATGAAAATATATACTGCATTTGTTAATTACTATTATTTTCGACTGAACTGAATGTTTTTACGAGCATGTCTTAGGGTAGCAGGTGAGGACAAAGATCACAGTGGTATGGATGGACATCTGCATGAATATTCTCTTGTTTGACATCAAAGGCATACTGTCATTCATAACACATGCCAGTGAATGTTGAAAACTGATACAATATTCCTGATATTATTTAAATTCCGATAAATATTGAATAGGTTTGTGGATTCGACTTAATTCGACTATATATATATATATATAACAAAAAACAGAATGACTTTTATAAATCATTCAAAATTTATCCAAGGATTGTATGTAGTTTTCAACATGAACACCCTTCATATGACTGCATATTTTTTTAAAACCAAATATTAATAGTTGAATATAATATTTCATTCTATATTTTTTGAATGCTACTATTAGCCTCAATCTTAGTTCTGATAACGTTGTAGAACTACGATGAACTATGCTAATCTTTCCACAAGTCGGCGAAACCTAGACAACTCTACGTCATCCGCTGAATAGTACAGTTTTTTGGCGTGGAATTTTCTCCTAACGGTCAGCAAGTAAAAAATGGATTGCAAAAAATTTCGTGTCAATAAAGGTGGAAATTTGAACGGTTGTCCCAAGCTTTCTACACGAGCATTTCGCACGTGAGCGTCAGGTAGAAAGTTAGGAAATTACAGTTTTCGCAACGTTATCATAGCGAAGCTTGCTATATAGTTGGTTAAAAAACAGTTTTTTGCATATTATACGTAGTGTGATGAGTTTGAGCCCTCTTCGCAGAAAGTTCAAAACTGCATGGACAACCAGAGAGTAAAATTCTTTCCGCACGTATCTCATGCCGGATCGCGCGGACACTAATAAGGGCAATCCCCCGACGGGTC